TAACATATTTATTTTATTTGTTAATATGAAATAATGAATGAAAAGAATATTTAAATATATTTTTATTTTATTTGTAAATTGTTACATTATTATATTATTTACATAGATAAAATATTAAATATTATTAATTCATTAAATTATTTATAAAATTATAAAGAATTAATAAAATTATATTTATTTATGATTACTATTATTATTATTATTATTATTTATTGAATAAATTATTTTTGATTTTCTTCTTTTGAAATATATAATTTATTTTATTTATTCAATTTATTTAATATTATGAAATTTATTCTATTTGTTTATTTATTTACTTCTTTATAATATCTATTTATTTGATTAAATTTATCATGTTTCTTTTTGCTTTTTTAATATATTTTAATTTATGAAATATTTATTTTCTTATTTTTATTTATTTCTTTTTTATAATTATTTTGTATGGTACAATTTATTATTAGTGTGTTAATTTGTATATTGTATATTATTATTTCTTCATTCATTTGGTTATTTATCATTTATTTATATTTTGTTTTATACCATATTCTGTTTGTAGAAAATATAATTCTTTAATTCTTTGACTATTTCATATCTAATCATTTATTCACGTTTCTCCTGTTTATAACTTATTATTCTCTCTAATATTTAAAATCACATTATTTTTATTATAATTTATTATAATTATTTATTTTTAATCAATCTAAAAGAATGAAATTAGTATATATTAATTCATTTGTGTAAATATTAGAATGGAGATTATATTTTGATTCATAACAACATAAGAATGTATAGATTTTTCATTTGAAATAAAGATAATAAATGAAAAGAAATAGAAAATGGAAATAAAAATAAAAAGAATGAATAATAAATAAAAAAGAAGAAATAGAATATGATTAAAAGAATAATAGAAGAATAATATAAATAATAAGAAAATAGAAGAAAATAAGACATAATGATAATAAACAAGAATTAGATATAATAAAAGAAATTAAACGATATAAAGAAGAATATAAACAACAGAAATATGTCAGAAGAAGAAAAAATATTAATAATTTGTGATTTTCTCCGGAGAAAATCACAAATTATTAATATTTCAAAATGAAATGATTATGAATGTTCTAAAAATAGAATGATGACGTGTAAATACGTAATAATTATTTATAGAAATAGATTTGACGTGGTAACAACTCAAATGTATTTATAGAAATAGAATTTACTCATCAACACGTAATCAAATATAAATAGAATTATGGGATAGATAACAAAAAAATCTAAAAAATTACAAATAGAAATGTCAGCTGACACCGCTGACAAGAATTATAGTAAAATATAATAAAATATATTATAAAATATAATAAAAAATATATATCAGTATAAATATATATATATATTTTGGACCTCAGATGTCATTTTAGACATAATATTGGCACAACTGACAAAAATGAGATAAATAACATAAAATTATGGAAATAAAAAAGAAACACTAAAATATAAATACAATGATTGAGATAAAAATAAAAATAAATAACACAAAACATCAACAAGAGGCATATAACACAAAAGTCAGTGCAACTGAATTATTAGTTCGCTGACAAATATTTATATAAAAACGCAACGTGGCAGGGTTGAAAACAACATTCAAAAATTTCAAGTGGTGAGGAATTAGGGCGAAAGAAAGGTGCAGAAATGAGAAGAAAAATACAACATAGAAGCATAAAGAAGTCAAATAAACACTTAAAAGTCAACAAAAAGTCAAGAGAATGATAAACATCATACCAATGAAGAATAGAAACAAGATTCAAGAAAAAAAAATGCATTCTAGAAACACGAAGAAGCCGAGAAACACAAAACAACCAATAAACAACGAGAGAACGGCGAGGTATTACGTCAGTAACAGGGAATCATAATGGCATTCGAATAAAGATTAATAAAAATATTAAAAAAATGAAAAGTGGCATAACAACGTATTGCTTACACATGACAACGTAACAAGATAAACAAATATAGCAAAGCGAACTGGTAAAAGATTTATTCGTTTAATGAATAACACGTCCAACAACTCCTCCACAGTTAACAAAATACCGGCTAAACAACCATATCCTTTCCAATTTAGAAAACAGCATATATTTTTAGGAGGAAGTATCGCCACAGGGAAATCAACATTAGGGGGTGCAATTTGCGACTACGTCAATAATTACACAGAAGCAATATTCATAAGAGAATACATAGATTATGATCCCCTCGGCGAAGAAATGCTTAATAAATTATTCAATAACACTATTACGAATTACGAATTCCAGAAATATATTTTACAATGCTACGAGGACCAATTAAAATCACTCGATTACGAAGAAGCAGACTTTGTTATCTGGGATCGACATCCCACGGAATCTCTGGAGATATTTTGCAATGCCGATAAAATGCTAACAAATGTACAAAAAGAAAGGTTAAAAATACAAATAGAATATCTTTGCAAGAGATATCAGATTCCAAGTATTACAGAAAATACGGTCAACATGATAAAGTTAGATACATCATATTTAGATTTCACCGAATTAGAACAATTAGTACTAAGTGAATATATCTGTTCCCTATTATTAGGAGAATTTGATGCGGATTATTATTTCCTCCTCTATTGCAGTAATACCAATGTTCAATTTAATAGGCTCCTCAAAAGAAATAGACAACCAGAAATCAGCAGATACAAATACAAGGAACAACTATTACCGCTTAATAATGCTTATATGAACTTCTTTATTAAACATCAAACGAGTAAACCAACTTCTAATTGATTAACTAATTATTAACATTCGACGTTTTATCATGGTCCAAGCAGAAAATTCATTTACCGATAAACCAGACACGAAAAAACCAAAACTATTATTAAGAATATGTTACTCAATAGCAGTTTCAATCGCTTTGTTCTTGCTAACTATTCTCATTATAATAGCAGAACTAATGTTGAAATTCTCAACAAACAACAACGAGTCAAAATAAATTTAATTATTCTTTTCTTGGCTTAGTTTGCTCCCGTTTTTTACTTTCTCTCTTTTCCCGACACTGTCTAAAAGCTTTTATAACAGTACCATGTTGCTGCAATATCTTACAGGCCGCAGAAGCAATATCTTCTATTAAAAAGACTTCATCCTCGATGAGCGTAGAATATTTTTCGCTTCCCAGAGTACAACACTCTTCCTTCTTATATAAATTAACCATGTCATCACAGAATTCATACAAATCATTCATATCACTGTAAAAATCGCACAATAATTCGACCTTCAAATCATCAAAGGGATAGTATTCGATCTTATCTTCAATTTTGTTACTCATCGAATGAATTTTTAGTTGAACGTCAATTAATATACCACAAATAGGCACAACTCAATGCAAACAGACAATACACGTCACCAAACAGACAAAACTATTACTAAACAACACGTATTCAAACGTATTTAAAGCACTGGAAATTAACATTATTATCAACAACATGAACTCCTCCAATTACGTTAAAAATGTTTTAAAAGACTTGTCCAAGAATTTATCCGACGCAATCAAACATTTATCAAAGACTAATCAATCCCCCGAAGGAGATAGTCTAATTCACGCAATTGCTATATGGTTAAGACGCGTGTCATTTATTCGTGAATTCAATTATGACGATACATTGCTTAGTTACCTGGATTATTTAATATCGGATGCACAAGTATTGATATTAGGGAATGAAAAACTATTAGAAATTTTAGGTCAATTCAGATTTTTCTATACAAGGGAATACGCTATTCACTTTAAGTGATTAATTTTTATTTTTTCGTTTTATTTTCTAGTTATCAATTAAAGATTTATTTAGTTTTCATAACCTCTCCATTAATTCGTGTGACCCTCCTTCGTCGGGTATTTTCAACTTAAACGGACACCTTTATCAATATTTTTATCCAATTATATATTATTTAACAATTAAAATAAAAGAATAAAAAAGGTTATTAATTATCTTTAGTCTCAGATTTCTTCGGCTTCTTTTCCTCGTCCCCCCTTTTAACGGGCTTTAACATTGAACGCTTGGCTTGGTTCTCAATAATTTCAACATCGGCTTCTCCTTCATCCGTAGTAACATCACCACATTTCTTAGAATTCTTACGCACCCAATCTGGAATAGATGTTTGATTTACAGCCCTTGCAACTTTCTTAGCAAATTTCTTATTCCATGTATTAAAACTGTTAATATTAATTCCATTTTCATCCATAAATCGTGAAATACGCTCACATCTGCGAATAGATTCCAGCTTATTTCGTATAATGTCCTGTCTTAATTCATCACTATCTACTCGAGCATCATCGCGTAATCTCCAGTCACAATATTGCGGATCTTTCATACAGTAATAAAACTTCTTTAATAAAGAATTCACTGCCGGTTCTCCCTGAGATTCTGTATACACATCCATAATATCCATCTCAGCTACTTCATAATAGATATCATCATGAACTCTTCCATTCTTGCTCATGTCCGTTTCAAATGTTCTGAATTTACTGTTCAGAGGGTTTTAATTTCCAAGTTCCGCTCAATGATGTAATCGCCAACTCATGACACGCAAGAAAAAACCTCAACGCGACATATTTAAAGTTCGTTTTTTTTTTCGTCAAACATTAAATGTCCGAACAAAAATTCAACGGAGAACCGAGTAAACAAGACGAACTACACCTCAAAGAAGCCATTGAACATAACAAACCGCTACACTTTACTTCCAGATATCTCTATTTGACACTCTGGGGCGACGAAGTAGGAAATGAAACACAGTTTAAAGAATTGGTCGATAGATTAGGAGGTGCAACATCTAATATCCAATACGCACATATTTCACCCGTAGAAATCGACCAAGTTAATCCTAAACCCCATCAACACCTATTAATAGTTACAAAAAGACCTCGCTCGTATAATGCCAGACCAATAATAATTCATTCAGATGGCACAAAACAGAAATTTTGGTACTCGAGAGTAAACTCCTACACTTCAAGAACAGGAGACATTTCAGCCATTATTAAATACATCACCAAAAAAGGTAAAGGCATGTTTAAAGGAACACCAGATACCAAAGAAGAACTAAAGCAGACGTGGATAAACGCCTTAAATGATATGGACTCATATCAAGATTATAAAGAATTGGAAAAAAATCTCCTAGAAATAAATGCCGAAAAATACATTCAGCAAGAAGGAAAGATTAAATCGAGATGGTTAAGAAAAAACGCCAGAAGGATCGACATGGAAACATATACTAGAACAGACCTATTTCCCTGGAAAGAAGAAATGGAAGAATTACAAACAATAAGAAAATGGCTGAAATGTGCTTCCGGGAATAAATACCGAATGGGAAACCTGTTTATAGTCGGGCCCACTAAAACAGGAAAAACCGAGTTCGCTATACAAGAGATCTTTATGAAATACCCAACTTTTATGCTTAGAGGAGATTCTCTGTTTGATACATACGATGAAGATCAACAATATAAATTTATATTATTCGATGATATAAATTATGATAAAAATTTACTCCGTTTAATTAAAGCAGTTACTTCCGCAATAAACAAAAAAACAATGGTAAATATTAAATATTCGAAAGTAATAGTCACGGCCAGACCATGCGTTCATCTATTAAACCAGAAAGAATACGAAGGAGTAATCGATTTAATGAAATACAGCGGAGGTTATAATTGGTGGAGAAGAAACTCCCTGACCGTATTTTTAGATAAGAAAATTTATAAAGACCCTGCCGAATCTGATAATTCTTCAGAAAACATGGAACAACGAGAAAAGGACTACAATGCATTAGATGATTTAGAAGAAAAATACAAAAACATTGAAGACGTGACCGACGACCAGGAAGAGGTAAACAATCAACCGATAGAGCACGTCCCCTTTTATAACAGAGTATCAAATCTCATGGAAAGTTTAGGATACGATGAAGAATTTCTCAGTGAATTTGATGAAAAAATAAAAGAGGCTAAAAAAGATACCAAGATGAAAAAAATACTAAACGAATCCCAAGAGAATAACGAGAGTTTGTTGGAGGAATGGAACGAAGAAATAGAAAACTATCAATCAGATAATCCCTTGGGGATGTCAAAAGAAAATTACAGACAATTCGAAAACGACATGATGAACAAATTTGAAAAGGACAGAATGAATTACTTCAACGAAGAAGAAGATGATTCAATGGAAGAGGAATACGAAGATTTCTCAGACGACGCACCTCCAGAACACCAGCCCTTTGGAGGCAAGGACAATGACATGAACATAATTTACGATTAAGAAAGAATTAAATTAATTTACTTCTTTTTATCCCTTACCATAGGAATTTTTGTTATTTTTCTCGGTTTCATTGTTTCATCTCTCTTCATTGCACCTTCCCAGGCATGCTTATTAATACGTTCCATAGTACGTTTCAGTATTAAATTGTTTCTTTTCGATGCACTTACACGCTTTTCATATCGTCCAATTTCATCGGCCTCAATCATGTTATACACGCCTCTCGGAATAGATTCAGTAATATGTCCATTAATATCAACAACTTCTCTTTCATTTTCTGGATTATCATAATATTTCTTTACTCGCTCTTCTATTCTTCCTCTGGCTTCTTTGTACCACTTCTCGTAATCATATTCATTATAAGATGAACGCATCAAATCATTTGTCTTCTGTCTATAATCCGAAGCAATAGGAATAGCATCATATTTAGGTTCAATTTTATGTCTACCCATTATTTCATATCCACGATTTCTTTCTCTCGGTGTAACTGTTCCATCTCCGCGTTTGTCAAATCCAGAATTTGAATCAGAAGAAATATCATCTCTTAACATTCTTTTTCTGGGTTGTATTACACTCTCAGAAACATAAGAATCTGAACCACCGCGTACAGCAAAACTCTGAGCATATTCAACAAAATCATTAATATTTATATCATTTCGTTCGGCTAATTTATTTGCAATAATCTTAGCACCCGCATTTCTATTATCATTCCAAGAACCTCGCAATTTATCAAAATCATGAGAAGCAACATCCAATTTATAACGAATTTCATCAACATTAGACTTATCATCCATAATACCACTCAAAACCATCATCATACTTTCATGGAAATTTTGCATATCATTAACAGGAACAACATATTCAGCATTAAAAGACTGAGCAATATTTTCAAATTGTTTCATAATTGCATTAACATTACTTATTACATCATTATATTGCGCGCCTCGAACTTCATTATCTTTTATATACCTATTAACATCTTTAAAACGAGAAATTAACAATTGACGAGTATTTTCGAATGCCTTTTTACTCTGTCTCATATCCGGATCATCACTATAAAATTGTTCTTCTCCTGCATTTATTATTTGTCCCCTCCTTTTATATGAATTCATATCGTTTTGTATACTTTTCACCAAACTTATTACACGAGTAATTTCTTCTGTTTTACCACTACCAATTTTATGTATCGATGAATTAAGAGCTTTCACTTCACTCTCAAGTATTCTCATTCTTCTAGTGAAATTAGCAGGTTCTCTTTCTTCCAACAAATCTTTGAGTAAATCATTTAATGGTATTTTCATATGTTCAGGTAATCTGTTAACAACATCAAAAACATTTTTCCATTCTTCTGATTTCTTTTCTAATTTATCAAGACGTTCCGTATATAAATTAACCTTATCCGTAACAGCATCAAGTTGTTTCAATGAAAATCGGTTCTGTTCAGCAAGTCTCGAATCAATATCCTTAATAATTCCTTCTTGTTTCTTTACATAATCATTAATTTGTCCTAATAAAGCATTTACATCATTTCGATTATATGTATTGGGTAATGTCTGATCAAACCATTTGGCAGCATCATTAACATCCAATTTAGTCTTATAAAGTAATTGTATTTCTTTTTGAAGTTGGTTTTTATATAATTCCAAATCTGCTCTAACAGCATTTAAATTTTCTGGACTTATTGTATTCAAATGTCTAAATTGAGAATTTAAATCATCATATTGTTTAGAAAATACCATTCCCATATTCTGATAAGCATTAGAAAGATTCTGTAATTCATTCTCAAAAGCAGGATATTTATCAATTAATCCTCTCATGACATTAACTCGCTCTTCGATATTTTGTAATCTAGAACCCTGTTTTTCGATTAGAGGTTCATAGAAATCTCTGAAAGCATTTAACTCTGCACGAGTAACAAATATCCCATTATTCCTTTCAATTTGAAATACACGACGTTTTAATACTGAATTTTGTTCTGTAAGATCCTTTATTTGAGTACGAACATTACGAGGAATAAAATCACCAAATTGTAATTTTAATTCATTAATCTTATTCACGTTTTCATTTATCATTTCTCTATTTTCATGAACTAAATCTTCAACTGTAACAAATCGTTCAGCATTTTGTTTATATTTTTTAATTGCAGACTCTAAACGTTCAATATGATGGACATTTTTAAGATTATCCTGTTGAGCACGTAGAATAGCTCTATACAGACTTTTATTATCATCAACAATCCTTTTCTGTAGTTTATTGTTTTCTTTATAAAAACTACCTTCTTCACCTAATCGTTTATCCAATTCCCTACTAACTATATTTCGAAGAGATTCATCTGGAAGTGGTGGATTATAAGGTCTTCCACCAAATTGATAAAACTGTTGTTCATTATCAATGGGTTGTTTATCATATTGTCTGGAAACATACTTTCCAGCACTATTATAATAACGGTTATTTCGTTTGTTATAACTATATTGTCTTCTCCTTCGTCTCCACATCAAATAACCAAATAAAGTTCAATAATCAATTAGAGATTAACATTATGTTCTGGCAATCCATCATTTGGTATTACCAACCCACCGTTAGAATATGCATTGTTAGCATTATCATAAACAGTCTCAGGATTAATTGATGGAGCAAATCCATTAGCAATAGCTCCGACTAAAATATAAGGAGGCTGAGCATTAGGAATATTACTAGGTACAACAAGTCCATTATTATTACGAGCATAACCAATAAACCCAGCATAAGGTTTAAATGAATTTTCATCGGTAACAAGTACTTTTCTCAAACCTCTCAATGTAACATCAAATTGCCAATGAATGGTAAGAGTACAAGCATTGGCAACATTAACAGCTTGAGGAGTTTTTATAGAAATAAGTAATTGAGGATTCCATGCACTATACATGTTATCCATACTAAGTACATCTCTAGTATTAGTTGTTGGTAAATACATAGACTTTTCCATCATAGATGCTGCGTCTAATTGTCTCACTACTCCCCATCTACTACCATAATACAATGTCTTTTCATTTGCACTAGAATAAGAAGAAACAGAAGAATAAGCAGGTAATTGGAAATATCTCGTATTATTAATAACAGCAGTATTAATTCTAACACCATTACGATCCCATGCTGTACATATAGAAGGGAATGTAGCACTATTTAACAACTGATTTCCAATGAATGTCATTTCCATGGATGCTCTGACAGCATTTAACTTGAATTGATCATACATTCCCATATAATTATGAAAATATTGTGTAGAAGTCATCAAAGCAGTGACATTCCTCAACATTGTACCTTCATTTGCACCAACTGGAACATTAATAGAAACGTCCTCCTGCATACTAATAACTACATTAGTACTATCTCGTTGCTGCATAGCACTTGCAAAATTACCAAATGCTTGTCGTTTCAAAGTTGTACGTTTTTATAACCTCTTCTTGGATAATTACGTCTACTAACACGTCGTTGCATCAAATGATTGAAAACAAGATTCAATTAAAAGTTCTAATTAAAGAGTGATATAGTCTTTGAAAGTAATGAAGTGACGTTACCGAAAAAATCGACAACTTTATCACCTGCGACTTTCCTCAATCCACCAATTAAGACAGATTCCAAAGCATCTCGACCAGCACTCAAATAGGTATTATTATCAATAAACTCCATACCTTCAGAAATACCAGTATAAGCGTATCCTACCAACACTTTAGCGGTATTAAAACCAGGTACAGCATCAGAAATGGCACTTTCAACTAATGGTCCAATTACATTCTTAACTCCCTTTTTAACCATATTACATGCATAAGAAGTAATACCCGTTCCTTCAGCGAGAGAACCAAGAGTCAGGAAAGTATCAACTGGAATATTTTCTAAGCCATATCGTTTCAATGCATCCGTCCACGACTCTCCATCACCACGTTCAATAACAAACCCACTAACACCATCCTGAACAAATTGTCCTAAACCATTTAACGAAATTACACTGTCATGAGATGCGACCTCGCCAGTCGTTGGATTTCTCCAAGATGACTGACAACGAACAAAATTATATGCTTCAACAATCTCGAGAGGAGATGAACGCAATTGCTTAAATCTCACTGTAATATACCCCATAATTTTCATAATATACGAACCATCAGTATCAACGGTGGTATGATTAGCAAGTTCTTGTTTATATGCAGCTTCAACATCCGCGGCATCCGATCCCTGAAATCCTCCAACTACAATACCACGACCAACATGAACTTTTATTTTCACATTATCACGAATAACATCCTGTAAATCAACATTAGCATTATCCAAAATAATTTCCTCTTCTTCTTGAGGTATTCCCACATTACCAGACCAAGAAATACCACCATCATCAATAAAAGAAAGAGCATCAGTAATATCACCAGCACCAGTGGGAAGAGTGGCTTTAGCACCATACATAATAAAAGGATAAAAACGTCCATTTTGATTCTCTGGAATAAATTTATATAACTTTCCCGCCATCATAGTGGGAGTTGTCATCATTTTTTCACTCGAAGATACTCCAGCAACATCAAGTGATAAATGTAAACTGGCACCAGGTAATTTACTTTGATATATAAAAGAAGAATAAGAAGAAAGAACATCAAAACTAGGCTCAACATACGAAACTCCCGTAGGACTTGGAGTAAAAAATCCAGGAGGAACAGTACGACGACTAGCCAGACCATAAACGGTTGGAAAACTGAGAACTTGCGTGGCAATTATTGGATAACCAGCACCGTGTTCCGGTTTTCCGATATAAAAATTCCCATTATAATATGCAATAAATTCGCCAGCCTGACCTTCTTCAAAATACACATGATTCGCATCAACTAATAATTCGGCAGCATCGATATCTGTCCAATTTGAACCATTATCAATACTCACCTGAAGTGAAATACTCTTTATAAAACACACTCTAAAATTCATCAATGTAGATACTCCTTTACTAACATCGCCACAAATATGAACATCCATAATTTTAAATTGATCGAAACAATCGCACATTTCTATAAATTGCCTGGAACCAGCGAGCATGGATAAACTCGAAATAGTGTGAACATCACTGTAATCTCTCCCCCCGATATGTCTCATTGCACCTCTCCATTCAGTTGAAACTGGAATAGTAACAGTAAGCTCCTGTCTCTGATTACGTTTTGCGACATCGACATTAACTTTAGCCGGTCCGTATTTCTTATGTTTAAATGTTGAATTAGATGAAAAGGACATAAACTGATATTACAAGATCCCAGAGAAACTGAGAATATCAATGAACACGGAAGTGAGTATAAAAGACCTAATAAACACTTGTAATATCCTCCAAATGAATCAATACGACATTGTATTGGAAAAAGAAACAATAACTCTAAAAGATATACCAAGCTTACTTGTAATAAACAGAATAAAACTAACAGGAATTAATCCAGACAATGACGAAAAACAAATACAAATAAATGAACAACCAACTAATCATATAATCATAACATCTGAAAAGGGTAACACTCAAACATGGCAATCTCTAAACATTCCAACTTCAACTGCGACATTTCTAACAATGAAAGACGACGATGAACATGAAATAATGATTACAGAAGGAAGTGGAATACTCTACGTAGTAATGAGCTTCGACTTGAAAACACACGTAATCCGTTTCGGTGCATACAAAAATCAATGGTTCAATATCACACCTCAAAAAAACATAATAATATTTCCCTACAGATTAAATTATAATGATTCGACTAAACGTTTATTATTAACATTGGAAAGTGGGGGGAGAGAAAAGAACTCGGACCAGCAATACATCAAAATAGACCTGGAAATTAATGGGGGTTATCAACAGTTTCTCCCGGTCTCTTTGACGAGATTTGGAATAAATACTTCAACAAGGAAGTTTAAACTTTTAATTGATTAGTTATTCAATTCATCTCAATAAACATTATAACCAATGGAAACGGAGATAAACCTAACAAACCTCATAAAAACATGCAATAAAACAAACCAAAATTCTCTTGAAATAATTTCCGAGAAAGAAAAAATTGTTTTGACAAATATACCGGATTTAGAAACAAAACAGCCAATAAATACTATAACTCTATCTTCTTACATAACACAGAATGGAAATTATACAATTCAGACACCAGATGATTATGATGGAATAAAAGAAGTAAATCTCAAAGTCGATATACCTCCCAAAACAGAAGACATGTTAGTAAAATTGATAAACCAGAACGGTCAACAGACCTTCTTACCGGAACCAAATCATACCTTCGGTCAAGTTTCAATAACAACAGATGTCAATCCCCCTCTTCAAACACTATCACACACATTTACAAATAACGGAAATTACCTTCTTAAACCAGACGAAAATCATTATGGTTTAAATGCCGTCAATGCATCAATAAACGTACAACCTGCTCTACAAACAAAAGACATAACAATACAGGAAAACGCAACAGCAACTTACACTCCGGATTCAAACTACTATGGTTTTTCAAAAATTACCATAACCACGAACATCCCAGAAGAAAAACATACATTCAATAAGCTATATTATTCGAGTGGAACCGAAGCCTTTCCAATTAACTATCCTACCAACATAATAAACCTTCCTACAAACACAGAACAGGTTACATGGTCGGAACTCAACATTCCTTACTCCGAAGAAACGACACTCGTAAAATCTAGTCACGCGCTTAGACCGTTTTATATAACTCTACTAAGTTCTAAAAGCTGCCTTTCGTTAAAATTCGCAAATAATGGGAAATTAGAACCCCGATTCATATATGAAGGAGAAATCTTCTTAGCTGCGGGGGAAAAGGCATTACTCGTTCCAATACTCTTCGCCAATGCAATAAATTGGGGCAGTATATTCTTTATAGCATCGAACTCTGATGATGAAATGGCACAACAAGAAGATTCAATGAAAATAGCATTCAGAAAAGATACACCATCATATTCATATTTGCCAACTTCACTTTTCTCGAACCGCTGGAAAGCACTAGGTAATTAAATTCTTTTGTGAATAATTTAATGTTGTCAGTTGTACAGGAAAATAAGAGTGAAATAACAACCAAAGGGAAGTGCATGTAACGATTTCCTGATAACTGATAACATTAAATCGAGCAAAAGAAATCAATAAATTGTGTTATTCAACACACTTTAGTCAGAGAGTGTTTCATAAATAATTCAACACTGACTTTTGAGGTTCAAAATATATATATATATATATATTTATACTGACTATATATTTTTATTATATTTTATAATATTTTTATTATAATTTTACTATAAATTTGGTCAGCGAGTCAGCTGACATTTCTATCTTTAATTTTTTAGATTTTTTTGTTATCTATCCCATAATTCTATTTATATTTGATTACGTGTTGATGAGTAAATTCTATTTCTATAAATACATTTGAGTTGTTACCACGTCAAATCTATTTCTATAAATAATTATTACGTATTTACACGTCATCATTCTATTTTTAGAACATTCATAATCATTTCATTTTGAAATATTAATAATTTGTGATTTTCTCCGGAGAAAATCACAAATTATTAATATTTTTTCTTCTTCTGACATATTTCTGTTGTTTATATTCTTCTTTATATCGTTTAATTTCTTTTATTATATCTAATTCTTGTTTATTATCATTATGTCTTATTTTCTTCTATTTTCTTATTATTTATATTATTCTTCTATTATTCTTTTAATCATATTCTATTTCTTCTTTTTTATTTATTATTCATTCTTTTTATTTTTATTTCCATTTTCTATTTCTTTTCATTTATTATCTTTATTTCAAATGAAAAATCTATACATTCTTATGTTGTTATGAATCAAAATATAATCTCCATTCTAATATTTACACAAATGAATTAATATATACTAATTTCATTCTTTTAGATTGATTAAAAATAAATAATTATAATAAATTATAATAAAAATAATGTGATTTTAAATATTAGAGAGAATAATAAGTTATAAACAGGAGAAACGTGAATAAATGATTAGATATGAAATAGTCAAAGAATTAAAGAAT